CTGACTGTATGGCAAACATTTGATACGGAAAATGCAAACTATAATATCTGGGAGTAGGTGACGAGGAGAATACAGGAATATATAATTCACAAATTCATTCACTTGGCTTTTGCTTTTGCTGTGTGTTTGGATCATTACTCATCTGTAATGGGAACTTCTGTGCCATCAGTTTTGCAGCATTTAACTGAATCTGACAAGTGGTAGCAGAATTCCTCCTGCTATTTCTATCAGCAGTCTTAGATTCATGTTATTTCCTGTGAACCATTTGAATGCAAGTTCAACAGTTGAACGTCACTTCAGACCTGTTATCTGCTTAATTGATGCACACGTCAACGTACAGATGTTTATTAGAGATTACTTTTAAGCCTCAATCAAAATCAAAAGCAAGGTCATGAGTTAAAAGATAACTACTTCAGTTTTTGAAGGCACTGCACGTTTTTATTGTCCGCACAACTGTTTCAATCAGTCAAACATTAACTACAGAGTGCAATGATCTTTTACCTCGTATGAATCTTTTAACTTTAACGTCTAACCTAAGTAAATGTCATATGCAGACTCCTTTAAAATGCTTTCATACACTGTTTTCACGCCATTCATTCCATAAACAACACCCCAGCCTGTTGCAACCTGTAGCTCTAATAGCATCGTCTTTTATCAGCAGAACTGCTCTTTAGGTCATTGAACCAAAGTTTACAGATAAATATAGATTAATACTTGCTCTCAGTAACAATAAACATAATCGTACTTTACCTGCATCAAAATTGCTGGTCCATCTGATGGCCAGGAAAGCAACAAATATACAACTTAAAATAATCTTTATGAAAGCTTCCATTTTTAACAGCTTGCTGCTAGTTGTTTTGAAGTGTTGGGCTTTAGACAGTTCACGTTTGAGGACACAAACTGCCTTTTATGCAACCGCATTCCATTCACCCTCCTCCTGTCGCTCTGTAAGGAGGCGTGTTTTCAAAAGTGGTGAACTTCAATAAGGCCCACCCTCAAATGCAAAGAGAAAGTGCTTTTTTATCAACACATTTCCTTACAGTAGCTTTAACTTTTTATTTAATAAACTGCACAGTGTTTGATTTAATTAGCAATAAATAAATCCAAAAAGATAAGACATCAAATGCCAGTTTTAGTCTGTCATGTTTAGCATCTACATGGATGTTAAAAAAAAATCACCCACAATAATTATTTATCTGAGCTGAGCACTAAATCAGACAAAAAGCCTGAGAAATCAGACAGAAACTCTGTGTACGGCCCAGTTGGATGATAGATGATAACAAATGAGACTGGGTTTTGAGTTTTCCAGTTGGGGTGGACAAGGCTAAGCATCTGGCTTTCAAATGAATTCAAACTCAGTCTTGGTCTTTGATTTTGGTTTAATAATCTAGTGTTGAAAATTGCTGCCACACTGCCCCCTCAGCCTGAGCTTCGAGGATTCTGACAATTAGTGTTGATTCGTTTAAACTAACATAATCATCCTGCTGTAAACAGGTTTCTGTCAGGCAGAGTAAATTAATTTGTTGATCAATTATTAGTTAACATACTAACAGGGACTTAGAAGGAATGAGAACTAGCTTTACAGGTATACATAGTTACTCAACAGTCACCACAGATATGATGAGTCCCAGGGGCGTCACTAGGTTTTAAGGACAGGGGGGGCTTAGGCCCCAAGAGATGCACATGATATGAACGAACGTAGTGAATGAGCACAAAATTTCACAAACAGAAAACAAGACTGAGAAATTGTTTTCCTACTTTTTTGGACAGATTAAACATCCTAGGCCACCAATAGATCTATTGTTTTATTTCAGTCTGTTTTATAATACAGTACAACAAGAAAACAGAAGAAATGTGTTTGCTGCATCAATAACAAGAAAAAAACTGAAAATAAAAAAGTACATCATTTTTATGGCTGCAATCACCAGTTACTTGGTGGGTGGAAGCATCAAAGAATGACGTCTGTTTTTAAGAGTGGCAAATCGGTCAATCGGTCAATCACTCTGTTGTGACTCAGATGCTTTTTCATGTCTTTTTCAATAGACATGACTGCAAGACTGTGAAGTCTTTTCTGACCCATTGTTTGACGCAGCCAGGAGTGCAGCCGACGCAGTGCACTAAAGGACCTTTCGCACGAGCAGCTGCTGACAGGCACTGTTAGGGCAACTTGGATGGTTGCCTTCAGAGAGGGAAACATGTCTGAATCAAGGAGGTTGTACACAGACAACATATTTTTGGGTGGACATCCAGCCTCTGTTTTCCGGGTAAGAAAGTTTCTGGCCACCAGAACCTCCTCTTTTTTCAGGTCAAGTCTGTAGTGCTTTGCAAGTTCATTCAAGTGTGGTTCACTCAAGAAGTTCTCAGATTTAGGACTGCATGCCTGGATGCCTTTTAGCAGCCCTGCATCTACACTGCAAAATCTTTGATCAAGCTCGCCAACCATCCGATCCACACAAGGGAAAAGTAACTCTCTTTTCAATGTGTCTGAGTTGTTCAATTCAGTGCGTGAACCCACAGTTGCCTCCAGGACAAAATCCTCCATTTTCCTCTGCTTGTGCCTTGTCTTGGCACCTGGTTCAGGGATACTGTGGGTGTTACACAGGGCCTTGGTTTTCTCATACAGCTCTGTAGCAAATGCATCTGAGTGTTTGCCCTTAAGTGTGTCACACACAGCTTGTTTGCAGATAAAAGCTTCTGCCAGGTCTAAAGTCTCTTTCTGCAGGAATTTGTGGAGTCCTTCGGTTACAGACAGAATCGACTGAAACATCAGTAGTGCATAGACTGCTGAGAACTTGTAGAGCTTTGCTCTGAGACCAACAGCTATGGGGGATCCAATTGCAAAAAAAAAATCTAATAAATAAAATAAATAAACACCAACTTATTTAGGGGGGCTTAAGAATATTTTAGGGAGGCTTAAGCACCCCTAAAATAGGCCTAACGACGCCACTGATGAGTCCTCCATACTGTCACTAGATGGTGCTGAGGTCTCAATATAAAAGCAGCTCTAACCCTCATATTCTCCTCAAATATTACTATCATAGGCAATGGTTCACATACAATTGTGAACCAACATCAGTGAAATAGTCAGAACATGGAAATGTTCTTGTCCAGCAGTCAAGTGTTTTGTCTGCACTACTGTACACATGATGTGCAGAGAGTGTGTGCATGCTCCTTGCAGATATATCTCTTGCATTGTGCACAGGTCTTCCTAATCTTTGAATCACTCCTGGTTGGGACAAACCTGGCACCTGCCTGTGGTTTGTACCACTGGAAAAGTTGGGCTGAGACTTTTCTTTCTGTTACTTTGCTTTCTGTTAAGTCTCCTTTTCTTTGGTTTTGCATTTCTAATTATTTCTCCCGAGTCCACATGCTGGCTTTCTTTATGAGCTTGGCTCTCTGCTTCAGGAGAGCTGTGGTCACTTTACTCATAAGGAGGAATCTCCATAAAGGTATCAGTCTCCTGCTTCAGTCCAACCTGCTCGCCCTCATGACTTCTACAAAGTTCCTCCTGTTACTCTTTAATCTGTGGAGGCTCTGGGCCATCCTGGTCCAGACTGGAGTTTGTTACGGATTCAAATATTGGGGATGGATACAAGAGGAAAAACCACAATAACAACACTGGTCAAACGGGTTGAGTCAAACGATGATTTTAATGATCACACGCGTGGGAGATGGACACCGTACGCAGACAGCATCAGATCTCAAAATGGTGGAGCATTGATCAAACTCTTATAGCCTCTAGTGGCCCCCACCTAATCATAAAAGCCTAAACATTCACATTCTTTCTCTCACACAGCGCCTAAGCTACGACCTTGGCTCCCTGTTTATCTGCTCCTGCTGAGATGGGGCAGAAAACTTCAGTATGTTCTGTTCTCTTCCAATCAGACAAATAAGGCGATGACTTTCTGCGAACAGTATTTCTTATAACTCAGCAGTATAATGCGTCATAAAACAATATCATTCATTCACAATAAATCAGCAGGCTAATGTAATGCAAATCAGTTTAACAAATGTAATAGTTATCACCTTCTTCTAATTCAGGAGAATAATGCAAACCAAAACTACATAATAATTCACAATCTTTAATGAGGGGTATAACATGGCATAAAATAATATTATAATCCCACAAGTTCCTCTCCTGCTGGTCTGTGAGAACCTTCTCCTCATAAACATGCTGCTGTTAGAGGTCTGAAAAGACAAATACAGAATAAAATGGCAGAAAACAAACATTTGAGGAATATATACTGTTCTGAACCATTAGCAGGTGGCTCACATTTACCAGTGAAATTTAACGTGCACATATGTGACCAATTATTTGGGCGCTGATGCAGATGATGGTTTAGTCATAAACCATCATTTGCCAGTACTGACATCATTACTCCAGTGCAGTCACCTTCTTGCCTGCCTTCTGTGAGCTAATCAGCCTTTTAAATCTCAGTGCTCTTTTGACTTTCTGCCTTTTACACTCTCATTGTGCAACCACTGAACCTAGCCATGTGGGAAGGCACAAGCCCATTACTGCCACCTAATGGACTGGAGTGTGGAGAGAAGAATTGCAGGGGGGAAAAAAATCAAAAACTATATTCTTTCCATCAATTTTATAATTTGAAGATACTGATATAACAGATTGCAAATTTTCTGTGTTTCCTTCCTTGTGCTGGTAAACTACGGTGAAACTTTAGTTTTGGTCAATTTCTTTCAACCAGTCTCTGGATCTTTTGAATATGAATATTTTACATTAAAGTTGATCTATAAGTCTTGTACTATTATTCCTTGTGATATTCTTTTTTGATTTTTCCTTTCAACTTGTGCTGCAGACTTGGATCAACAGACCACATAACAAGTATCATTAATCATTATTTTAAATAATATGGCTTATTTGAAGAGTTTCAGTCAGGTTTCAGAGCTTCAAATAGCTTTCTTCCTATTCAAAAGGGAGTTTTTCCTTCCCACTGTCGCCAAGTGCTTGGTCAAAAGGGGTCATATGATTGTTTTATGTATTATTGTAGGGTCTACCTTACAATATAAAGTGCCTTATTGACTGTTGTTGTGATTTGGCGTAGTATAAATGACCTAGGTTTAGTTGTGCCTGTGGCTGTCAGTCAAAGCAGACAATTGCAATAGGAGGCTAACATTTTTGTAGCTCCATAATTAAACACTAATAGTGGCATTGGGGTTAGCACATACAAGAAAAAATCTAAATTTAAAGTTATTAGGTCTTCATACCTTTAAGGTGCAGAACAAATATTTCACTGGCAAAAAAACCATTTTTTTCCATTTGCTTTTATGTGCATTATCATACCTCACGTTATTTCACATTCTTGACTTTGTTTGCTTTGGGCTTCTCTATTGTGTCACCCAAGTAGCTTCCTGACTGCTCTTCTCCACTAAGCTGTACTGACCTGGAATATGCTAAACTGCATTTTATGGTAAAAAGATATTTCTGTCAGACTATGGATGACTTATGTGGTCTGTTATTATGATCTACCTTTCCTTCCCTTCATTAACCACAATTAACACCAACAAACATGTCAGGAGGAAGCTGGTTTATTTTTTTGTGTTCATTATCAGCAGCAACAGCAGCAACACGAAACGTATTCATTTATTTCATAACCAAATCTCATGTGAGGTATTGTGTCTGTGTGTGGGAGGGCTGAATGGAGGGGTGAGGTTGTCTTATCAGTAGTAAATCAGACTTTTTTCTTCTGAGTTTTCAAGTACTAGTGCAATAATGTTTGGACAGCAGTGGCTGTACTATTGACACAGACACTAATGTCTAAAATGTTAAAATAGTAGCCTAAAAAGTAAAATCCCAAGTCCTGAGCTTTTCTATCTGTATACATTTTATTACTGGACTGTTCTCAAAGAAATGATGAGAAAAGTGGAAACTGAAATGTCAGAAATGTTCCCGCAAAATGTCAAAGAGCTAGGCCAAAATCCAAATTAAATGTTGATATTTATAATTAGGAACATGTATAATTGTGCTTCAGTTGTGCTGAATAAATGCTCTTCATGGGATGTAGTTGTAGGAGTTCTGGATCATATAATCTGTGACAGAAGGAAACCAGTCTTTGGTGATAGCTATAAAGTATGTGAACCAAGGGTAGAAAAGCTCTGGCTGCCTTGTAGATCCCGTAATGATGATGTTCAATGCAGCATCTGTGGCGGGGTAGGCTGGTACATCAGTGACGCCCCTAGGATAGAGAAAATTCTTACACTTAATTCAAAAATATCTCAAAATACACAATGTCAAATATTTCTGCATACATATATTTGACTAACCGGACTTTCTCCATAGCTGAGTCGGTATCAATGAGACCGAGTGTGCAGACAGAGATGGACACGTTGCTCTTCTTCATAGCCAGCTCATGATGAAGAGACCCAAAGAACCCGTTCAAGGCAAATTTGGTTGAGGAATATGGCGCCACAAAAGGAGAATTTATTTTACCTGTGAAGCATCAACAACCGTTAGAGTAGGAGAAGCGTCTTCAGTAGCTTTCTTGGAGCTTTCAAACACTGTCAGAACTGGTTACGACGGGGAGTCAAAGTCCATTTTAAACGCATTAGAGAACTGCTCTTTTGCTCAAGCCTGTGTTTAATATTGCTCTTGTAATCGTCTGTTATTGTATATGATTCACAAGTTTCTATTCATTTGTCTGTACTGAATGTCAGTTGTTTGGTTTCTTGATTTGTTATATTGCTGTGTGTTGTAACTTCTGTTTCCCCTTTGGCCATTTCAAATCTCTGAGCTCTGGAAGTCCAACTTTTCATCTTTTGGTCTAGTTTAGCTGTTCTCAAACTGTGTTAAGGGGCTCTGCTGAGGGGCCCAGCGCCACTGCAGAAGGGAAGGTGGGCAGGTAATGAGCAGGAAAAAATAACCAACTTGATGAATATGAATTATGCAGGTAAAATACTTTTCTTAGAGTTTGCTGATTCTAATATACTGACCTTTAGTTCACTTTTCAACTTTGGTCACTTTTATTCTAACAAAGCTTCTTTCAACTGCTCCCTGAATCACAAACCACAATGGATGGTTTTGGAAACTGTACTTCTTAAAGTACTTTTATTGCACCATGTTCATTCACTCATGAGCTGCTGTAACATGAATCAAATGGCTGAATTGCCACCTCAATATCCAGTCAAGTTCTGTAGAGTCTTGCTAATGACCTACTAATTTTATTCAGGTGTGTTGCAGCAGGGACACATTTAAAAGTTTCAGGACAACAGCCCTCGAGGACTGGAGTTTGACAACTGTGCTCTAGGGGAATACCCAGGCATTCCCATGGTAGCCAATAGATCTAATTTCTCCTGTCATACTTGTCTGTGCCCTGAGGCCTCCTGCCAGTCTGACATGCCAGGAGAGGTCTATTTAAGAGTTCTACTTAAAGCACATTGTAAATGACTGAGGTCCTCACCCTATCTCTAAGAGTGAGCCCAAACACCCTGTGAAGGATACTTTTTTCAGCCACTTGTATCTGCAAATCTTATTATTTTGGTCACTACTGCCAGCCCATATAAATAAACGAGCATAACAAGGTAGACTGACCAGGAAATCGCCAGCTTTGCTTCTGCGGTCAGCTTTGTGGTCACTTTCATGCTCTGGTGAGTATTCCTCAACTTCCTACCAAAACTTAGGCTCCTTCCCCATTAAAGATGTCCCCACGTCCCTTACAGCAAAAAAGCCAACAACTAGACTATCAGTACTTGCGACTTTGACTGGCGCCCAATCCAGAAAACACTTTCCCTCTACAGATTCTCCTGCAGGTAGTTGACCCATGGTACAATAGACCTTTTGGGCTTGTTTTAGTTGAGCTCCACACGAATTTATGGCCCAGCCACCTGGTGCACACAAACAAGCTCCAGAGTGGCTTATCAACTCTTGTCATCATAATACATTAAGTTAATCTTAATTACTGTATTACCGTACTTATTTATCAGTTGCAGTAGAAAGTGCCTTTAAAAAATGTCAGTTTAATTGTATCTGGTGGGTGAAAGTATTAGGAGGTATATATGTGTACACACAATTTGTATTTGATAGTTTGTCATCATCTGCATAAAAAAGTATAAAGTATAAAAATGCTGAAGAAGTGTAAAAATAAACCTACCTAAGAGCGATGAGACAACAACCAGCGATCCTTTATTTTGCTCAAGGGAGGGCAAAGCTTTCCAGGCCATCTGAATATAGCTGAAGAAATTGACCTTCACAAAGAAACATTCATGAATCAGCATAGTCTCTCCATTTCCTGTTTTGAATGACCATCAAAATACTCAGTTACCTTCATCAGCCATTTGGTGTGATCCACATCTCCCTTCCACATGCTGAAGGGGCTAGGCCCAATGTGATTGAGGACCAGGTAATCCAAACCTCCCAGCTTCTCCAGAGCATAATCCACCACTTTGTCAGGGTCAGCCTCATTCGCCATGTCTGCTGCTATATAAAAAGCTTTCTGGGCTCCTAAACTCAGACATTTTTCTACTACCTAAAGGCCAAAATTATTAAAAATGCACATGGTTAGTTAATTGAGAGAACTACAGAATGTGTCTATTCATAACTGTCACAAAACAACACAAGTAAATGGCAATCTATGAGCAGAATTTCAACAGTTTATTACGTAAACTGACCTGCTGTAAGACTTTCTCCCTCCTTGCTGTGATAACAATTTTGGCTCCAAAGCGGGCGTAATGATACGCCATTTGTTCACCAATACCTGTACTGGCCCCAGTCACCAGTACCCTAGCCCCTTTGAGAGAATCTGAAACAAAGGTTTACCGTATTCAACACGGAATGGAATTGTTTTAATACATGAAAGGTTAATAGAAACAACAAAAATATGTTATTTCTATTAGTCAACAATAAATAGAGTAAATGACCACAGTAACTATGGCATACATTATTAATATGTCTATGCATGCAGAAAAAGTTTTTAAGTGAACTTGATGACAATGAAATAGTTTCACATATGGAAAAGATATATATAAATCTTATAAAGTTTGTATCTGTCTTGTGTGAAACTTGTATGAAAAGCATACAAGAGTGAAAACAGATATAAGATCCCTTGAAGAATTATATAATGAAACTTGTATGTTTTGGATACTTACTAAAACAATATATGAAAGTAATGAGAAAGTGGCCACTATTTCTTTTCCATATGGGTTAGTTTATCTAGAATCATTCTTTAGGCAGATATAAACCCTAAAAAGATAAGCTAATCTTAGCCCTCCATATATTGCTTCAGGTCAAAGGGCATTTGAAACTTTTCCATCTTGAGAAATTGCAAAATGCATACTCTTCATTTGGACTAGTAAAATGCTTGGATATTGTGTTTATTTATTTCACCAGAATTTCCATGCTGTATTTTGTTTTTGAAGGTCCCATATCACTTGTTTGTTGCTTTAATTCTTTGCCTGGTGCTATAAAGATTTAAATATCCTGCAGGTTTGAAAATTTTCACTCCCCATGCTGGAGAATGGAGCCATATGTCAGTACCGTTTTCCCTTCAAAGGTTTAGCTAAATGTGCTATCAACTGCATGTTCTCTCTCTCTTATTCCACTTCTTATTCCCATTAAGGGTTAGGGTTCATGAAGCAGACATTCAAACTGCATTTTATTACTAACCAAAGCAAACACAAGGCATCTGAAACAAATCGTCCTGCGCTGTCGTACATTTGTGAAATATAGGCATTTAAGCTTTAAAAAAATGTGGTATTTTATAAGGTTACAGTGTTGCAGAGTAGAGCACATGGGATATGCAAGTATACATAACACTAGTTCACTGACATGGACCGCATAATTTCATTGCTTGCGGAAAATTGACTCTACAGTGTGTTCTCAAAATGTGAATAAATGCTGGATTCTCTCTTTGGTAAGGCCTTGGTCACATGCGGAGAGCAGATTATTATCAATTACTCGCTCACTTTGTACTGTTTCTAATACATTTCTTGAACAAATCATTAAATTGTTACTATTACCTTTCCAAGTTGGCAGTAATACACACCCACACCATAAAACTGCCTTTTATTTGTTAATAATGTGGCATGTATTCTATTATTTCTATAATTCTAATATGAATTGTTGGTTTCATTTTTTCAGATTTTATGTATAATTTTTTTTTAAATAGCAAAGTCTGACCTGGCATTTTTACTCAGAATGCTGATATCTATAGATATCTGCTGTTGTTTTTGTTGTTTTCCGGGCCTTCTGTACATTGTTTTTTTTTCAAGAATGTAACTGGTAATTTAAACATTCCTGTGGTTTCTGGTTTTATAGCTCATGTTTTTGCTTTTTCAGCCTTTGATTCCATCACTAATTCTTTGAAACCCATATTGAACATGCAAATTGATTTCTTGGACTCAACTTCAGATCTTTTATCTCCTTAATCTGGCTACACCTGACCATAAAGCCTCAAATTATTGGCCCGGGTGCTTTTGAGCTTCAAAAATCAAATCAAAGTTGACTGCACATGATGTCTATTAAAAAAAGACTTCATATGTATAACAAACAAGAAAAAAAACAAACAAGAAAATCCGTCATGATTTAATTCATAATAATTAGGAAAAAAATGACGTAAAATATTGTAATTATGACTTTAATAGTGAGGTGTTACGAGATACTAAGTTATAACTGTGACATAACCGAGTAGGCTAGCTAGGATTCTTTCACGTCAGTCTTACCTTTTTCATGTGAAACCTTCATTTTTAAGTTCATTAAATCCGTAAGCGTGACTCTATTTAGCTGTTTTCAACTTATACATTGCAAATGCATACCACGCATATGTATGGATCACTGTAGGTCCAACACCACCTAACACATTATTGTCTGCTGGACAAACCTGCATGCCTGCTGCAAGTTTGCAACTAAAAACAAACAAGTACTTTCTCACACTGACAAAGAACAGAGTTTACCAGCATCAAATCTGGGTGAAGTCCATTTGGCAGCCAGGAAAGCAACACATATACTAGCTAAAAGAATTTTTGTGACAGCGCCCATTATGGCAGTTTGGTAGCAACTGATCGGAAATGCTAAGCTTTAGAAGTTTCTGCCAACTTTCACAATCCCAGTTTGAGAAAACTAAGCGCATTTTATGCAGCCCACTATTTCTCCCCTCCTTCCACTTTGTAAGGGGCGGGGGTTGGTCAGATAGGTCTGCCCTCTTTCATGGACACAAATCATTTTTTTGTTATTTTAGTACTTTTAAAAAAAATCTATCTATTTTTTTTAATTCATCGAAGCGCCAAAATCTTTAATTTATTTGCCTATACATTTATAGTTTAAAAAAAGAATCAAGGCTGACGAATCTGCGCCTCTGAAATTACATCCGCCCTTACTTTTGAAATAGCAACTTTATTTACACTCCGCTGGTGCACACGGATCATCAAACAGGGTTGTCCTTCAGTGCAGCTAACCAGCTAGCCTGATCTACGGCTCATTGTTGGAGTTCTCGCAATAACAGCTTCTTAAAGGAGAATAGACCGCGCTGAACGATGGCGACGAGGATTTGGCCTGTTATGAAGTTAGTATTTTTATTTCAACTCCCGCGGTTCCCTATACTATTACTGCTCTAAATGCTCTTATTGGTAATTAAGCTAACTTAGGCTAAGCTAGCTGTCAGTCATACCAGGTCATTTTCAGTTGATTTCGTTTTAGCTCCAAGTTTAAGACTTAAAATATGCTTTTCTTTATGGAGTTAAACTTGGGCTGATATATTAACTCTCTGCAATGACGTGAGCTTATGTGGGCGATTGTAAATTTCCCAACTATTAACTGCTAACTTGGCATCAAAGAATAATTTGTTGTTTACTTTGATAACAACGACGTGTGTCTGTAGTTTCAGTTTGCCCTGTTGGGAAATTGGGGTATTTCAGATTAATTGCATTACTGCATCTGTTCTTTCATTTCCAGACTGGCCACCAAGGTGACCATTGCAGGAGGAGCTGTCTATGTTGCCTATGACTCTGGTCTCTTGGGGAACAGTGAACAGGGCTCAGAGGCTCTGCGTAAGGCCAAAGCAGTAATCCCACCTGCCATGGAGGAATGGATGAAGTACTTTGGTGTGGAGGTAGAAGATGCACGTTATAAACAACTAGGTCTTCCTGGATCAGTGCCACTAGGCCTAATACAACAGAAAGTAAAATGGTTTTATAAAGTCGTTGCATTAAATGGATCAGTGCTGCAGACAGCAAATTTGATGACTTGTACCATAAATGTGTAGAAATTTCTTTTTGCTTTCTAGCCTTTCTCTTATGAGATCAGAAACGCTCTAATGCATACATAGTTAAAGTACAATCATGACATCATAAACCTTTGTGAGGCATGTACTTTGATTCGTGGTAATGTATGCTGCAGACCTAACTAGCTAGCAAGTTGTGGTCTAGATTAGAGATCATCAGGTTGAAAATATAGTCAATAGCAATTCTTCAGATTCTCCTGTGCCTTAAGTCTGGTAACTGAGACTTACCAGATTTAGGACTGAGACTTTATTAAAGTAAATATCTTTTCCAGCATTGCTGACCAAAGTGCTTAAAGTGCTCATGCTCTTTTAATACTACTGGACTGGCTGTTTCTTCCCACACACACTCACACCACTCCTTTAGCTTCAACACTGCTGTTGCTTTATATCTGTATTATTTAATCTTTTCAAATGTTTCAGATATCATAGTTGTAGCTTTGTAAGATCCGCCCATGTTTTTGACTGGTCGACTGCATCTATTTGAATACACTCCCAGCTAGATTGTTAAACTCTGGCTTGGCTTAGTCGATAAACACCTTTGTAATTCTGCTTATCTTGGTTCTCAGTGTTATTTTAATTGAAGTCAGATAATGGAAAGATATCCAGGGAATGCTGAAATTGCTTCATAGTACAGGTCCTAGTTCTGCTGACAAACCAGTTCAGGTGATTTAAAAAAAAAAAAAAAAAAACCATAGAAAAGAACAAGAGTATTTATCCATTTCTTACTTATGATTTTATTCACAAACTCCAACAAGCAAGTTTTCACTTGAAACAGTGTATAAGTGCGTCTGCTCTTCATGATTTTACTTTAAAACTTGATTTGTTTATTTATTCATTTATTTTTTTCTTACTATTTTGCACTGGACAGAATAGTAGTCGTATTGTCCAATTATAATAAACACTTTTCAAAATGTATTTACTTATTTAAACTTTTTATCTTTTTCTAAATCAGACCTAAGATAAATTAGACCTTACAAGGAGTGTTTTCACCTATACTAATAGAAAGTCTGTATACCAGCTCCAATATGTTGTTAACAGAAAATAATGCACCCTATCCCTCTTGTCAGGCTCAGCTTCCAACCATACCTAAGATTGAGTTCTCTCCTGTTGACGCGTGGAATTCTGGTAAGAATTCAATTATTTGTTCCTTTTTTAAAAAAATTTACTGTGGTCACAAGTTTGGCACAGACTTTCTTTTGTGTATTTCACTTGTTACATGTAGTAATAGTTTTAAAATTGTTTGGAGGCAGTAGTCTGTTTTAAAATAATTTTGGTATTGGTATTACTTTTGGTCTAGATCCTATATTGACCCTGATTTTTCACTATCTAAAACCTAAACTTCTCTTTTTTCTTTTGTTGCAGGCGTACAGTGGACGATTTCAAATCTTTCTGAGGCCCCGACAAAAGCCACTGAATACACAAGTCAGGGGCTGCAGTACTTGAAGGACCTCACAAAGTGAACATGAACTCTCTGGACAGCCTCACATTATCAGTCCTTTTGACTTTTGCACTTCAGAATGACATTACTTCTTCAAATGTTGAACCCTGCCATAAGAATGAAGCAACACACAACATCAAAGAAAACTGCTAGATTAAAAGATTAAAAGCAAGGAGGCTACTCTGCTGAATGGGTACTGTGGTTTTCTAACTGATAGTGGCCTTTGATGGGAGATGTACATAATGGGAAGGAAATTTTATTTTTAAGAAGGCAATCTTTCATTTTGTGTATACCTCAAAATTGTGTATACCAAATAGTTGCTATCGGCACTGTCCAGCAGAGAGTGTTATTCTGCCCTCACCTTGCCCAAAAAATGTTAAGAATATCTGTGTGTGTGTGTGTGTATATATATATGCAATTTCACTATTTGTGAGCAATATATCAATCTTCAAACGTCTTGTCTCATCTTTAGTTTGATCTATCAAGTCATATCACATATAGTGCTCGAGAAAAAGTGTAAGACCATACAAATGTGCAAAAATCTTTATTAATCATGACAATAATAATGACACAGTTCACTGTTGATTCTGCTACAACTTGAAAAGAGGGGGAGATGACCTAAAGCGTGAGGAAGAGCACACGCAGCCATTTATGATCGGTTGACTCCACTGTACACGATGCAGACACACTCCACAGCACCGCGAGCGGCGATGTTTAGTGTCAACTTTTTTTTTTTAATCTAAATGTAAGAAAACATTACCCATTCTGCCACGTGTTATCACTTCTTCACATCCAAATAAAGTTTATAAACCTTGAGGCACTGATCAGATATGATGCATGCAGAAAAAAAAAAGCAAAGGCTGAAAAGACTGAGGCCAGTTCAGCAACTACCACACGGTAACGAAAGCGAGATGACGTCCACGTGGCAAGCGAAGAGCCTTAGCTTCCCAAACATTGATTATGCCTAATCTTAAAATAAATTTCTGATCCCAGTGAAGCTCTTCATTGAATTTTTCTTTAAGTTTAGGACTATGTTTAATCCATGAGTGGGAAACTGGCTGCTCGTATTTGCAAGACTATGAGTTCCAAAGGGAGGAGTCGAGATTAGTCACTGAACAAATCAGTTGATTACAATCTTTAAATATTCATATTTTAATTAATGTACATTACTTTTTCACAAGAAGCTGGTGTGGCGTTTTAATGAGATACTCTTAATAAACTGAAGTAATCACAACAGGCAACATTACAAGTAATTTTACACAAGTTTCGTAGATTAAATACTGTCATTATGTACTGTAGCTATTTTTTTTCTTTTACATGCGTGTATCTTAAAGCGAAATTCTGCCACATTAGCATTTAAGGAAACACCGTTTGGGGGAAACTATTAAAGTGTACCATTACCTAAATATGTAAACTTTATACAATAAAGTGCTCCCCACAATGTCAACAGTGAGATTATACAACCAATGATAATGTGCATTATGTTTGACGAACTTTTTCAAACTGCATTAAGAGCACACACACATCACTAATACAAATTGATAGTTTTAAAACTTTGCTCCAGCTGTCAGTGTTGCCACTTTGAAATGAGGACCAAATAGCAGCCTCCCTGGGCAAAGATTCATTAAGAGCACAGTCAGAGAAATGGTAAGTACAGTATTGCAAAATGACAAGCCGGAAGGCACTTTATGATATCAGTGGGATCAAATTCATATGCAAATTTAGTACTTTAATTACCAGCACAAACATGATACTTGCACTCTTGATGTTAGGATTTAGGGCCTGTGCAGAAACCTTCCTTCAAGGTCATGTTCAGCATGAATGGCATATGCAGCGTGCAGCCACTTCATCCAGCTATGAAAGCTGAAATACTTCACGTGGTGCAAAGGTGCAGGAATATGTTGGCTTTTAAAAAGAATTGGCCTCAATTAAGATGGTTTTACAATGCAACTTCCATTTATCTCTTCTGGTATTAAGTTAATTTGATATTCTTTGATGAACACACACACACACATTTGCATCTGCCCATTTCTTTTAATAACTACCTCAGTGGAAAACACCTAGTCCATAGGTGTGTGTCAACACTTATCGTCAATTTAGATAAGCCAACATAAAGTGCCCTTTGAAAGGAGATATTAAGCAGCTTCGTTAGTCACTGGAATTTAATTAAGAGGAGCACTTTTGGGGACAGACGTGAAAGTGCTGCACAAATGTTGTGCAGTGCAATCTTTGACTTTGTCCAGACTTTAAAGTTGTATTTAAAGTAGAGCAGCAACAACAAAACAAAAACTTTCTCTCTGCAAAACAGCCAAGCATAGCAGTGCTACAGTTATGCTGTGCATACAAATAAAAAAAAGAAAAAAGAAATGAAAAGAGATTGCACTGACTTCTGAACAATAAAGCATGTCAGCTATTTAACCCTGTCTAGGCTTTGAATAACAGATTGTAGCAATGAGTGGAACAGTAGCAGGTGGAGAGATGTCGGGGAATTAGATAAAAGTGTCCACTATCTCTAGGTGGTTTTGACAAGGTCATAGACATGAATATGAAAGTCATCGTCATATTTGATGTAGTAGACAGAGGGCTTGGCCGGGACCTGGTAGATGACCAGGCCTGTTCTTTTCACACCCTTGTCAGTAACGTACTCCACTTGTTTCCCAACGAGACTCTCCGTCTCTTCTCCTGGCTTCCTGTCTGCAGGCAACAGGTGCTTGTTTTCTGTGGAGAGAGGTTAATCATTACAACACCAAGATTATAATTACAGAAGAGATGAAGAGTAAAATAAAATCCTGCTGCTGGTGAAAGCTGTTGATAAAAAGAAAAAAATAATGGTGTCATTGTCATAATTTTCACAAATTAAAAAAAAAAAAAAAACGTACTTTGTTTTTATAATTGGCTTTTTATACTCGTACTATAAAGGTCAAAGCATTTTGCATAAAGATCTCTCTATTTGCATTAAACTTCACTTGAAGTTAATGTGAATACCTATCTCTGACAAATCAGATGTGGAAATTTCTTCACATGCTGGAAATGGTCGTTTAGTGATACTATTATTCAATCCTTGGGCTTTATTTACACAGCATGGCAGCTATATTAGGTATCTGTAATACTCCAATTTAACTCAAAATACTTTATTTTAAGGGAAATAAAGTAGGGAAATGCTGCTCACTTCCTTCAAAACGCGTCATTCTGCCAGAGTGCTTCTGTAAGTAAATAATAATGGATTGCATTTATATAGCGCTTTACAATTCCACTATTCATTCACTCTCACATTCACACACTGGTGGAGGCAAACCACAGTTGTAGTCACAGTTGCCCTGGGGCAGACTGACAGAAGCGAGGCTGCCGTATCGCGCCATCAACACCAGTAGGAGGTAGGGTGAAGTGTCTTGCCCAAGGACACAACAACCAGGACGGACGGAGCTGGGGATTGAACCGGCAACCTTTCGGTTACAAGACGAGCTTCCCAACCCCGTGAACCATGATTGCCCCAAATACGACTGATTAGATGATGAACACAGACACCGATCATGTTTTTGTTTGTTTTTTTAGCTCACATGGTATTCATGCCCAACAGAAGAAAAATGTATCAAATAATCTTCAAAGTGTAAAATTGATTTATATAGATAAAATGGGCCCAGTTTAACTCATTTCTAATGCCATAGGACAAAAGTGTTTACAAATCTTTACAGAAATTAGCAATACCTGCTTCAGGCAGAATCCTGAGGTCTCCTTCAGCATAGTCGTCCCACAGCTGGTACATATAAAGAACGGGGTCCTTTTCATAAGTAATATAATACCAGTTGGTCATAACTGGTGCTTTGGAGAGGACCATGCCTCTCCACTCATTCTTCTCTCCATCTTCCTTTTCAAATAAATGCTCCACCGCTTTGCCAACCAACTCCTCCGCCCCTGGAGGTGTCTTGACTTTATTGTTTACTGTGGAGACAGAAGCATGAAAGAGAACAATACAGACCCAGCTGTAACTCCAGAATCTGAAGTATGAACTGATCAAGGCAGACGCTGACTTACCAACTTTTTCTGACAACACTTGTAGGTTGGACACTCTCTCATCCTTGAACAGCTCAATGCCATAGACGCAGTCAAAGCCATCGTATTTCACCATGAAGAGGGAAGGATTTACACAAACTCTGTCAAGTACTGTGCCCTTCCATTTGCTCTGATTCCCCCTCTCACGCCAGTTATGCTGAATGCGGACTCCCAGAATGTAGTTGGGGTCTGGGGTTACTGCGTCACTCAGTTCCCCGCTGCTCCGTTTTCTGGTAGAAACAAGACGAAGATGCAAGTCTGTGAGCCTGAGCCTTACACACAGGTCCAACAACCTAACCTAATTTGCTCTTTTAAAAATGCACCTGAGTAAAAAATACAGTATGACCTTTGTCACATTTCTCAGCTATTTGTTCATTTCTGTGGCTTCCACGTGATTAAAACACTTGGGGGGTGTTTCTTGCAGTGACTTCTTTGTGACAACGACGGCACAATGTGACATCAAATACATACAGCAGACGTAGATCGACATACCTGCCCCTTTTCTTGGACATGCCTCCAGAAATGCAAAGGTTACTAATTAAGAGAAAGACAGGACAATTAGTTTGGCTGCCAAACTGACAAGCACATGTATGATGATTATACAGTAAGAGATGCCACACACACATATATTTATGAAACAGATGCTGCCTGTTCAACAGACGGACAAGTCCTCGAGCCAATGAATTTGCATGACGGAATAACTTCCTGGGTATTTATTGACACAACATTACCATAGAGGTCACTGTATACTAAGACAAGACTGTGTGTGTTATAGCTGACACCAAGCCTCCCCTCATCTTAGGATCACAAAGTCTTAACAAAACCGACTGACAACTTTGAGAAAAGCCGTTTCACTGCTATGTGCGAAATTACAGGATTTAATGTTAGAAGGTTACAGTGTGGCGCAAAGGACTCACCAAGTTACACATAAAAGCTGACTGGCAAGGCCATTAGACCCTTTACGTTACATGTACCCTACCTGTCCTGGACTAAAGCCAGCACACCGCCTCTGTAGGTTATCGGAAACAGTCTTAGCTCTACCTCAATGCAGATGTTACTGTAGGTAAGTGTAGGCGGACACATACATCCAGCACACTCTTCGTTGTCTCTAATGGCAGCTAGCAAACACAGCTAAAAACTGTGTGTTTACAGCCTTGTTCTCTATGTGGAACATATTTTCATTACCTTTAAGCAGATTTCATATCAGCATTGTTCAGTTCGTCTGGCAGAGAAATGTTGCCACACACCAACCCGCCTATGTAAAATCTCGCGAAACCTGTGGGAAAGGGAAAGGAGGGGGGGAGAAGACTCTATATCCCGTCAAGCCGTGAGTCACCAGAGCCGTAGAGAAGAATGAGAGCAGGGCGCGGGGAGTGATGGGAAATGATGTTTTGGTTTCCGCGAAACTGACTTTTTTTTTTTTTTTACACAAAACATAAACAGTTTCCGACAGTGATTCGTGAATACTGTCAGCTCGTGTGTTTTAGAAATATGAGAAATAAAGCGGTTAAGTCTTTGGTACATGGGCAAGATGACAAGATAGCTACACAACACAGCCAACAAGCAGGAAAAATGAGGTCAGAATTTTCTATGACGCAGGAGTTGCCTATGGTTTCAATTAAAGGGACAGACGGTATTTGTTTTAGTTTTTTGGCGTAACTGTTTGAGCTGTGAGAGCATTTAGTTTGTAAAATTAGAATATTACTCTAAAACATGGGAATTTAAAGCTTACAACAATACTTTATAACAATAAGGAAGCTGTTTTTATTAGATGGACTTAAAATATTGTAAAAATAAATGTGCCGGCTTAGAATTAGGAGTTAATAGGTGTGGACAAATATTAGACACATGACAAAGACACTTGCATAGTGTGACCTTCATGTTTTGGGCTGCCTTAATCATCTGAATCAATCTTAGCAATCTTAATCTTATTTTAACATATGCACAGAGCCAGTAACATATATTCAGTATGATGTTATATGAGCTTTGTAGTGTTTCCCATAAAGCCATTACTAGTTGCTCTCCCCCTAAAGGTATGTTAGAGTACTGCAGTTGTTGTTGGGGGTTTTTTGGTTTGTTTATTTGATTTTTCAATATATTTTTTAAAAGTCAGTCAAGCATAATTTCAAAAACACATTTTAAAAAGTAAAAACTGGAGGTTAATTAAAAAATAGTATCCAATAAAATATTCTAGAGAGGAACAAATATAGTCAGGCTCAGTGTGGAGTGAGTTTTCAATATTTAACAGCAGAGACAAAAATGTTATATGGTTGAAATGCAGCAGTTATGAAGATGACAGTGTTGGAGGCCGCCTTTTTTTGTAACACCTAACAAAAACAAACAAACAAACAAACAAACAAACAACCGGAACAGGATGCAGCTGCCTCCCTGTGACTGAGAATGACAAAGATATTCAGTGAAGCTCAATGAGCCTGTGCTTCTTGCTAAATATTTTAACTCTTCCGTGAGGTATCATTATACTAGTATCACTGCATGATGAGGAAAATGATTTGCATGAATTGAGTGTTTCAATATTTAGTGTAATGTTCGGTACGCCATCCAGATTTTTCAAAAAATAAATAAATAAAATCACAATGTACAATAACTCTCGAGCAAAAGTATTTTATTTTAGATTGTGCTCTTATTTGAAACACATTGAAGTGCACCAACAGCAAAGAAGAAGAGAAAAGCATGCATTAACCTTTCCTAACCCATCTGAAAGGCACACCTAAAGCAAAAGGATATCTGTGATGAGTGCAGAATTACAAAAATCATGGCTACAGCACCATAATCCAATCAAGCGTTGCGACACATTATCAGTTAGTCTAACTGGCCTAATTGTCATTCAACACCCTTTGAATCCATGCCCGGAAAGAAGATATGCGTGTATAGACATCGGGGGTTTGGGGGTCTCCACATCGCCTCCCAGAGAAAGAGATAACACCTGCTGCATCTCCATCGCACACCAGCGGTCCACCTGAGTCTCCCTTGAAGAGAAATGATAAAGTACACTTAAGTACACTTGCGCTTTGTTTAAAATACAGGTTTTTCAGGTTTTCCCAGTACTCAGACACTTTAATCTCTTACTGAGCAGAAGCCTTGAAGGCTGTGGGATCCCACACCGCAAACCATCGACTGTGTGATGGGAACTTGTCCCCATCTCCTTTTGCATATCATTTGTGGCAGAGTGGTGACGTTGACTTCCTGAAGCGTTTTTGGTAAGGTGTTGTTATCGCCTATATCGCCCCAGCCTGCTGTGATGCACTGGCTGATTTGATTCAGCCTGCCAGGTTTCAGAGAGATCACCTGAACTGCTTGAGACACTTGGGCCCTCCGGTTCAGCTGAGAAGGAGATCAACAACAGGAAAAATACTTTAAAAAGCTGAACGGTGTTAGTATTTGCATAACCTTAACATCACAAGTTATGTTTCTGTGCAAATTAGAAATGATCATGATCATGTTAGCAGACAGCTGTTGTTCTCACCTTGAGGAGCATGATATCATTTTTGTGTCCATCATAGCCTGGATGCGGAAAAGATTTGACCACAAGGAACTGCTGCTTCGTTGGCTCAGTACCTGTCAGGGAATCAACTCCCAGCACGACTGTGGGTATTCTATAAATTGCAGCAACATTTATTATGTTATCAAGAATCCAAAGTTAATAATTTTTCTTCCATAACAAAGAAACCTATTATGATATTGAGAAAAACTGATAGAGGGGTTTTTTGTCAGTTCTGCAAATGCTGCCGATTAAAGCAAACACTGAATTCGTACCCACGTGTCTCACAATGTGCTGCTGTGAGTACAAAGTCCTCTCTCACTAGTGCTCCTCCACACAAATGGCGACCTTGAAGTTGCACTGAGGCCATGTAGGGGAGTGAGTGGGGGGCAGCGTCTCGGCCTCCAATAATCCGAGAACCGTCAGCTCCTGAAACACAAACTAAGACGTCATTTGTTTATAGCAATCCAGGACAATATGTAATTAGTAGTAGGATAGGTAGCAAATAAAAATATGCACAGTGTTTGTCAGATTTTAGATTATTTTTTATCAGAAAGACATGAAAGCTTACCACTGAGGACAAACAGCAGAAGGAAGAATCTGGCTACCATGGTCACTGGTGAAATCCGCACTAAAGTTTAGGGAAGCAAATGTCTCTTTTCATGTTCTTTTGTATTGCTTAAGTGTGTTTGCTAAAATGCTGTAAGGTGTCTTGTAAAGGTCTTGGTAAAAATTACAAAACAAGGTTTCATAATTGATGTTAACGGGCAGTGGTATTTAAGCTGTAACTAGATGCACACAATGCTCAGGAAGTTTAGTTGTTCATAATTGTTCCTCCTTAATTCTAGTTTGCAGTTAACTACAAGTACTAGAGGTGGACGGATCGATTCAAGTATCGACAGCATCGATACCAACACTAGTATTGGTATCGAAATTCAGCGTGTAGCCCGCTGAACTCTGTTAATTATTTCTTTGGAAAAAATAAACCTCAAACATGCACTGTGAAAAATGTCAGAATCTTTTTGTGTGCGTTAGAGAAAGAAAAATGTAGATTCCAGGTCTCCAAAAACCCAGTTTTAAAACACATGAAAAGCTCAAAGGTGTGTTTTGTTGTGTTAACTAGTTATTGTGGAAAGTAAAAAATCACACTTATTTAGTGATGATGAAAATGTGTTCAGAATTTGCAAATTGAGAATTCATCTCATTAATCAACTTCAGCAATACTGGCTCTGTATTTACTTGTTATCAGATCGATACTAAAATTTGTAGTGTGGCGCAGCACTACTGTGAATGAGGGAAAGTGTGAATGTTGGACATTTTTGTTGGAATGTCCAGGCAATGTTAAATGACAAGATATACGTGTTCAAATAGCATCAATTAACACACAACTTCAGATTTTTTATTTCTATATGATAATATTCATGACTAAACAATAAGAACAAGTACTCTGATGTTGTCTGAGTTTTTGTGCAACGTATCGGTATCCGATCAGTGTCGTCAAGACCACCCTGAATTTTACTTGGTATCGGATCGGAAAGGAAATAAGTGGTATCGCACATCACTAATAAGTCTGTGTTTGAGTGTTTGTAGTTACGGGTAATATGGGATACTTACACTTCCCCTTTTGTGTGTTGAAAAGAGTGCTCTTAAGAAACGCTGCGATTTTGTATAGCACAATATACCACACCCCAAGAATACTTCTGCTTTAACCTAAAACTGGGTTTCTTGCTGCATGCATAAGATTTTAAATTTTAAATGCATGCTCCCGAAAAACTGTAGGAAACTGATTAATGCACTTCCTGTGATTTTGCATTTATAGAATCAGAAATGTGGTGTTTGAGAAATGGCAGGAAGAGAGAATATCCCTTTAGTAACAGTAACAACATGTTTGTGGTGAGCTCAACTGAACACCGACAAAAAAGCTCTTTATTGTTGGTTCATTAAATAAAAAAAATAAAGCTCCAAAGCAAAATTGAACTTTGAGAAAACTTAATAATAAATACAGCAACTCTAAGTTTGGTTTTATTTTTGCATCTTGTTAAACAGCAGACAGCTGAGAAAAAACAAGAATTACATTAACAACAGGTGCACTAGAGGTGGCAACAATGAGACAATTCCCAAAACAGGAATAGTTTTACAGCTGATTCGCATTTTTTCCATCCTCACCTTTTTAATTTTGCATGTGTCTTGGGTCAGTATGCATATGGATCTCTGATTCATGAAGTGAATCAGATATTCTATCAGACTCTACTCTCTGTGTAATGTGCACTGGGTACTAATTGCACTGGTAACTGTACCATAAATATTACAACAGACCAGACTTTGTGCCTCACAAGCCACCGTGAACTCACAGATAAGCTTTTAAGTAATAAGTAAGCTGTATCTATTCATCAGTAAGTCTGTTTGACAAGCAGAAATTTGGGCTGGTGATAATGAAAATGACGTACTGCACTGGTGCAAATGTGTTTAAGAACTGCTTTTGCACTCAAAAAAAGAATTCATTGGATGAACGTAATTTTATCTTGCCACTTATATTCCATCTAAACAAATCATGTTATATTAATCCATCTTGGTTGTGTTGTGTCAACACGATATATGTGTGTAGGTTTAACATAATATTAACATTAACATTCAATTAATTTGACTTTTGTTCAATCAACATGTTTGTATCACATTAGTCTAATTAGATTTATTTAAATTCATCTTATATTGTTTAAACACTTTGGCACATCAAAAGTCAGTCTTGTTACATAAACTAGTAAAATATTTGTTTGTTACACCAATGATAATCTTGTTGAATGAATGAAATGTAACTTATGTCTGTAGTACATGTTGTATTCATATTACATAATGTTCAACAAAAAAATTCAGGAGATTTACAGCAACTTCCAATCCACCCATCTTCTTGTCTTTATCTGGGCTGCGGAAGTGATAGGGTAACAGGGGCAGGTAGACTGGACAGGTCGCTAACATAGAGAGACAAACAACCATTTGCACTTCAACACCTTTGGGTAATTTAGAATAACCAGTTACCCTTACAACTGCATTACTTTTATCTGTGGAGGAAACCTGAGTACGCAGAGAGAACCCACTGCAAACTTTGCCACATTGTGGATTTGAACCCAGGATCTTCTTGCTCTGAGGCAACAGCACGAACCACCATGGCATTAATCTGTCAATACAGACTTAACAAAAGTAGGAAAGCTATGCTTG